TCATGGGTGGTCCTATCGTGGCGGGTTCTGAGAAGGTCAGCGATGGTAAGGGAGCCGTATAGGGGTCACTGAGCGGCTGTTCGTATCGGAGTGGGGGTGCAGATAAAGGCATTGATGAAAGATTCTTCGAAGGATCCATTTGACTCAGCAAACCACTTTGAAATTGGTTGTTCAAGTAAGTGGCGTATCGCGAGATTATGTCCTCCTGTTGCGATCCGAAAGTTTGTGCGGTGTTTAGATTTGTAGTATCACTTGGATACGAGCGTCCTGACAGGTAGGGTTGGGCGTAGGCGAGCGGATCGGTTCGGTCGACACCCATTTGGTCCAGGTAATTCATGGAGCGGATGTTCGTTGGAGGCACTCGATAGCGGGGATCGATGATGTTGTCGGAATGCAGGTCGAACATTGAATGGGAAGCAGCACCACTGGGTCGAGCTCCAAATGACTGCTCATAATCGACGTGGATCGGTCCGTAGTTGTGACCTAAGTATCTTTCATAGTTCCTCGGCAGAGAGCCATAATTGTACGCATAACTAGAAGTCGTTGGCTCGCGCACAGTGAAATCTCGAGAAAGGGGTGACCTTCTGCTTCGAGAGGGGTAATCAATCCTCGGAAGAGATCCATAATGGGGAACAAGCGATGAATAGTCAGAGGAGTCGAGTGCAGATTGAGAATGATAGGCTCTATAGGGCAATGTCTCTGATGGTAAGTCGATATTGGCAAACATTCTTTCTCGTCTCCGTGCTAACTCGTCCATCAGTTGTAGTCGCCTTGTCTCACGGCTCAGCGGATCGTCATCGTGGAATTCAAACTGTCGCCGATGAGCTCTTTTCGCCTTCTCAGTTAGCTCGTTGAGCTGGCGATCGTAGTCCTCGAAGTACTTTTTGGTTGCCTCAAGCAAATCGTTGGTTTGCACATTCGCATTGGTACGACCACGACGCTGAGACGGCTGTTCTGCCGAGACCTTCGACCTCCCACTATCGTAGTCAGTTGTGGTAAATTGCTGTTCCGTTTGTGTTTCGACGTTCTTCGCATGTCCCATGCGGAACTCTCTGAAGTGCGGTTTCCTCTCAGCATCCAGCTGAGCTCGAAGTGACGTTGG